CTCGCCTTCTCTCCGCAGTGGGCTCCGAGGCTGAGAGGCGCCGGGCTGCGCCTTTTCGTCCATGTGGCCAACACGGTGAGTGCGGGCCGGCAGACGGGGCAGTGAAACCCGGGGTTGCGTGGGGAAAACAAGGGCGAGGGGTCCGGAGGGAGCGGGGCTCAGCGGGGAGGCTGTGGCTCTCTGCGTGCTCTCGGGTTCATCCGGACCCCAGGGGTGATGCTGCGGGCACTGAGAGCTCCGGCCTCTGGCTGAGGGCTGTGTGTCTTGGGGTGTGGGAGCCCGAAGCTGCCATCAAACTCGAAATTCAGCTGCCAGCAGCTTTCCTGGGACCTGAAAGGACTTGTGTCCCTCAGCTCTGTGAGGGGGGTTCCAGCAGGGCGCTCCCCCCGGGTTCTGGCGTGTGTGGGAGCCTGCGGGCTGACCCCGCGGTGGCGGTGGGACCGCTCGGTGTCAGGGTGCAGCGGGGACAAAAGCCTGCATCCCCTGGGCACTGCTCACCAAGCACCAGCTTCTGCTGGAAGCCGCTGGGTTCCATTGCTGCTGCTGTTGCTCGGCCTTTCCTTTTGAGCGAGCTAGGCACAAAAGTTTCTTTTCAGCCGTGTCACCTGTTACAAAGCTTGGTGTCCGGCTGGGCCTGGAGCGAATTTGACGGGCCGTGTTTATTTGTGAGAATACCTTAGGAGTGGCTTTCTGTCGAGATCTAATAACCAGAATACTTCGTAATCTTTTGCTTTGTGGCTGCTTCTGGTGCATGTTGAAGGGCTGCTTACCTTTCCCAGTATCTCCCTGGGAAGGGGGTGTGAGATTCTCAATCTCCTACGGGATTGCGCTGTGTTAGATTAGATGTAGATTAGAAGCCATGTGTTTTCAAAAAGGTGCTGTAATTCTTATGCAATGTGTGAGGTAACGTGCAGCTTTGTGGGGCTAGCAGTGTGAGCCTTGCCTCAGACTTGTACTGTATTTGTACATCTCACAATGTGTTTCTGAACTCCATTGTTAGGGAATTAAGACAGGCCAGAACAAGGCTGGTCTCTTTGGGACTGCTGATGCTGCTACACTGGGAGCCAGGGTATTGAAAGAGTATTTTCAGCTGTCTGCTACCACGGTGTCTCTAAATTTCTCACACTTTGCTAAGTTGATTCATTTTATTCCAGGAGCTAGTTGAGAGATAGGAAAGATCCTAATAGTAAATAAAATAATAAGCTCCTGCCTCATCGAGTGTTTGCATAATCTGTGGAACATGAAGAAAATAATGGATGGGAGCTATATAGAAGCTTCTGAAACAGTGTTGCAGATACAAGCTTTCTCTGTGAGTCATGGAAAGACAAAGGAGAATCAGAAGAATACTCTTTTTGTAATGATATAAACATGAGAGGTGGGGGGAAGCATTTCAGGCCATGTTTGTGGTGTAAAATACAAGTGTTTTTGCTGTTTCTTTACTGCATGCTCTCTAGGGTGCTCTGAGCCTGCAGCAACTGTGAGCATATTCAGCATTCCTTGTCTAGTAAAAGGGTGTTCAGGTCAAAGTTGCTGCAAACCAACATTTTTGCTTTTTTTCCTAGGCTTTTGGGCAGATCTGCTTACTGCCATTCTTAATGAGGTAAGCATGGAGAGTTCTCACCCACTCTGAGTTTCTTTTATTTCTTTATTAGGTTTAAAGTACTTGCATTGCACACTTCATGTAGGTTATCTGAAATTGCGTTTTTTGAAGAGATAAGCTGCATAATTTGATTGGAGAGTGAGTAGGATTATTTCACAGATGTTTGCTAGATTATTTTTTTTAACTGCTGTCATTTGAGGGGGTCTCTATGAGAAGAAATTAACCTTTTTTCACACTGAGGCAGGTGCATAGAAACTGTATTCACCAGCTTTTCTTTTTGCCTTTTGTTTGCCTTTATGTCTCTTTGCCTTTGCTCTTTTGTTAAAGGACAATCTTTTTTTCAAAGCTGGTGGATGTGCAAATATGCTGTGCTTATCAGTAATGGGGTTAAAAGAGTAATAGTAATTGTGGGGAAGTGAGGCCCGACATATAGGTCAGAGGCTTTGGTAAGTTCTTTTTAATGATGTTTTCTATTTTAGGTCAGCCTTTCTTCTTTATCTCACATGTGTTTCTGTTCAAAAACTGATTTCAAGTATACATTGCACTAGGAGATGCTTGGGTAAGAGTTCAGGAACCTCTTCATGCTTTTTTCAGTTTGCCCATCATTTGAAGAGTCATCTGTGCAGATCCCAGGACACTGAGAACTGTGTAACCCCTGAGTTTGACTTGGGATGTGGGTTTTTTGAGCAAATCAAAAGTTTTTTTAGCAAATCAGGCAAGTGTCACTGCTGGTATACTGCAGATAATTCCTGGGTATCTGTGACAGGGTTTTGATTTCCTTGCTTTAAGTGGTCCAAGCTATGGATTTATGCTGCAGACTCCATTGTATTTGACTGCAAACAAGCTATGTTGAAGCAGGTCATGGAAAAGTCTGAAGAGGCGCTTGTTTTAACAGGATTAGTGGTTGAATGTATGGCTTACACTACATTCTCCTTTTATTTTCCTCTCCATTCCTGTCTTGTTTGGTCTGTGTATGAGAGGTCTAATTAAAGTGAATAAAAAACTTCCACCATTTCTTTCCCAGCTTGGGTTTACAGAGGCTGGCCTTATGTCAAGAGGTAGGAGGCTTTGTTAAGCAGGCAGAATAGATTTGATGTTGCCTTTAGGAAATGTGTGAGAGAGATTAGCTTGTAACTGTTGCAACTCCCTGCTGTGAAAGCAGACTGCTAAAACAAAATGTTCTTGGGTAAGGTCCCTTCTGAACAGTCTGAAAAATTAGTCATAGTTGAGGTTGAAAACTCCAGCAGTGACTCTCTCTTATTCAGAATGAACAACTTCTCGCTTATGCGTTCCCTTGACATTCCTGAAGATCCCACGTTTATCCCGGAGGTTGCTGCAGGGGTTACAGAAGACAAGTCTGAGGCTAAAAACCCTTCAGATGTTATCAAGCAGCTGACAGATGCAAGGTCAGTATGTGATGTGTAAGAGAGAAGTGGAAGAACACACGTGCTGGCACTGTTATGTTAGTGGGAAGCTGTCGTTGTCAGCAATTTAGATTGAATTCTTGTTTCCATGCCCAGCCACTTCACAAAACAAATAGTGCTGTCAGTCATCTTGCCTTTTGTAACTGATAAATCACCGGTAATTACAAGCAATGTGAAAGGGAAAAGCCTGAGGGGGTTTGCCTATTGGGGAGAGACCAAATTCTGCCCTTACCAGGCCTCTGGTTGTGCTATTAGAGCAGGTACTTAGTGTTTGGCTAGTCAGTAAACAGAATCCTCTAAGTGACTTTACAGGAGTGCAGTTTCTAGCCTGCAGAGAATGTCAAAGAGAACACCAGGTTTGCTTGGAGGGGAGAAGGAACACAGGTTTTCAAGAAAATGGTGCACAAGAAATTATCTTAGTTAGTGATGAGAAAAATGGTTGACTGCTTGTGTGCTAGAGCCATTGACTTGGTGTTGAAGCAGTTTGCTTGTGTATCCTTGTGTGTGCTGCATGGTGCTTTTTCCCACTCCTGCACTACACACCCAGATGTGCTGCTGGCTGCCTCTGGATTGAATTTTTGACAGAGGACCTGGGAAAAGGTTCACAAGTATATTCCAGCTAGGCTATAGTGTTGCAGTGGTGAGTAGCAAATGTAAATATGGAATACATTTGAACAGTTTAACGACTGCTGTATTTCAGTAGGAATATGAAGAAACTAAAACATTCTGGCAAAACTGATCCCTTATTTCTGTGGCATCCGTAGTTGCCTGGCTTGTGTGCGAGGAATCAGACTGAGTGTGAGCTGCAATGCAGGGGCTGGCAATCCACATGGTTTGCTGTGTGTGATGCCCAAATCTGCATTGGACAGTGATGCTGAAGTCTACAGGTCTAAACAAACCTGGCTTTGGTGGCTCACAGTTGCTGCTTTTAATCCTTTCTTTTGTAGGTCTGATTCTGCTAGGAATGGGTTTAGCTTCAAAGGGATCAAAGACTATCTGGAATGTTACCGGTAGGTGAAATTATGGTCTGGAAACAATCTGTCCCTCATGGTCCTCTGCTGTGGGCTGCCCCTGTTCCACAAGCTCTCAGACATCTCTTTGTTAACATTGTCCTTGAGGTGCTATTGTTTATCATCACTTCCTGCTGTTCTTTCCCTTTAGTAGAATAACAAAGGAAAGTCATCGGGGAGAGCTGGCACAACTTTACAAGCCCTGCAAGGATATTAAAATGCCGTTTTCTTTGGCTTATTGTCTGTCTTGTCTGAAAGAGATTTCTACATATCTTGTTAGCTCAAACACGGGTGAGAAGTAGGTGAAGGTTGATCTGGATTATGCAAATTGTGCATACTGTGGGTCTCTGATGAATCCCTTGGTTCCCTGCTCCTTGTGCTTCTCTGAGCATGACACCTGCTTTCACCCAGTAAACGTGTCCAGCTTGGAAAGAGCTGAAAACACCCCCTTGACTCTGGGGTGCTGTGAGCTGTTGGCTGCCTGGTAATCCTAGTTTCTTCTGGGACATGTGCCAGATGTGGAGCCCTTGGATAAATATTCTTGCACTCCTAGAACTTGTTCCTCAAGGGCCACCCCTGCCTGCAGACTGTGGCATTGGAGCAAAGGGCTGACACTGCAGTCTGGTGTTACAGGTGCATCCTGGCTGCAAGGCTTTTGTGTCAGCCAGAGATGGTGTGTTTGTGGTGTAACACAGCCTTTGCCAGGAAGGAGGGAAGGTTTGTTAAAGGTGGGTTATGACAATACTGCTGGGAACCCCTCCTCTGTAATGGGAGTCCTATAAAAGGGTCTGACTTCTTGGTCTTAGCTCATTATACTGGGAGTTTCATAGCTTCCAAGCTCGCAGGAGCTTGAGGACTCATAGTATAGCTGTCAGCTGTTTGTCCCTGTTTATCTGTCTGGTGGTTCAGGAATATTTGGGTAACTCTCCTAGCTTTTGCCCCTCCTCTAAGGAGCATTCTGTGTAGGCAGATTCTCCCCTTAAGGAAAATAATTTCCTGTCTTGATGGTCTCAACAGTGTTCAGATCATCACCATACAGAGATTCTTACCTAATTCTTGATTAAAGCTGTGACAGTTGCCATCTTGCTGCATGGGAGACAAGCCCTGTGAGTGGATGTGGTGCGGGGAGGTCTTGTAACAAACCCCCAACTTCTGTCCTGTAGGAGTGGGAAGCTGACGCCATCCCAGGTAGCCAAGAACATCATTGCCATGTTGGAGGACTGTGACAAATCCACGCCACCACTCAGAGCCATAGTGCAATGGGACCAGGAGCAAATAATGCAGGTATGGTATGCATCTGGTATGAAAGAGGCCTCTGCCACCCCAGGGGCAGTAGCATCCATTAGAAGGGCCAATAAGTACAGAAAAATAAGTACATTTTTCCTTCCTCTCTGTTTAGAGGACTACAAAAAAGTTTGCTTTCCTTCCTGCAAAGAGAGGTAGCATTAAAGCAATCTGTTTCCTGCTGGATGACATGTCTCTAATAGGACTTCTGTGCTTATGTGGCATCCATTAGTGTAGATGGTTCCAAGTTGTAGTTTCCCACCAGCATATGGTGGAAGAAGGAAACTTTGATAGACTGGCCAAGAAAGCCATTTTTTATATCCATTCCAATACTGGTGATGACCTTCAGCTCAGCTAAATATATATAACATATGCTTTATGCTTTTTCTTTTTCTCTGTGCAGATGGCTGAGGCCTCCACTGCTCGTTACAGGAATAAGTGTACCCTGTCTTGTCTGGATGGCATCCCAGTGTGCCTGAAAGAAGAGTTCAAAGTGGTGAGTTTCCTTGTCTAGCTGCCAGTTCCTGCTGCAGGTGGTTAACCTGGACAACTCACTGTGACAAGGTTTTAAGACCAACTTCTCAGCAAAAGGCTGAGAATATGTTTGTAATGAGGGGTTGTACGTGGGTTTGTAGTGAGTAGGATTAACAAGTTTTGCAAGGTGAAGACAGATCTTGCACACAGCAGACGTGTTCCATATCTTGTACTGATCTTTTTAATCCACAGGGAGTAGAGGGTGGGTGTGGGAAACAGTCTCTTATGATGAAATGAGAATGTATAAAAGCATCTGTACAGTGGGTGTAACTGTCTGTATTTCTCAGGCACGGACTCTGCTCCACTGGCAAAGCGTCCCTCTCTCCTTACCTTAAAATACACAAGTTACTTTGAAAATCCCCACTGACAAAGATTTTTACCTGTAGCCTAACAACAGCTAACAGTAAATGCTTGTGGCAGTGCCATCAGGCTGTTGTAGGCTCTGAAGAGACCTACCTCTATGGTGGGAGTCCTGTTTATGTACAGATTCTTCTGTTGCTGCCTCGAAAAAAAGAGTTCTTAACATACCCTGAAAATAAGTCCATCTGTTATTTTGGCATTCGACTAATCTTGGTGCCAGGCTTCAAAACATGCAGATCTGAAATGCTGTAGCTCTGTCCATAGAAAGATGGAACACAGAGCTGTGTGCTATGGGGCCAGGGTAATATTCAGCCTCTGGGCATAGCAATTGCATTGCTGCAGGGAGGCAAGCTTTGACCATCTACATGTTTCTGCTGTATCATGGTGCAAATTGGGTTCTCTGCATGGGAGAAGGACCAAATAGTGAAGGGTTGAGTGTCCCTCCTGACAGAGACCAACACAGGACAAGTTGAAGAGTGATGCTCCCTAGCCCTTGCTTGCCTCCATGGTTCCTGTTTTCTGGGATCTGTTGTGATGTTGAAATGTGCATGTGCTCCTTTGCCAGGGTTTTAGAAGGAATAATTTGGTGTCATCTTGCTAAGGTACCTTACCGTCACCGAGTGGGAACAGTGTATCTTGGGTCACAGCCAGAAACAGAAGATGCTACTGTGGCCAAGAAGCTGCGAGAGGTTGGGGCTATCATTATTGGGGTCTCAAACATGCATGAACTAGGGACTGGAACAACTGGATGCAACCCTAATAGGTAAAAATCCCTTTTTCTCTTCTCCCAGTCTAAAAATACCTATGACTGTCCAAAACTCACAGGGAAGGCTCCAAAAATAAGGGGAAGCATGACAGAACCCTGGGGGTATGAAAACCCAGTACTATAGATTTGAGGGTTCGAGTAGCTGTGGAAGCCTGAAGGCTCCTGAAACCAGAGGTAGGAGAGGCTCCAAGTGTTATCTACTGAGTAAGGAACTTGGTTTGTCAGGCCTTACAGGCCTGGAGGTGTGAATGTTTATAGGATGAGTGGTAGACAAAAGCTGTGACAGGAAAGAAATAAATGATTATATAATGCTCAGCCTCAGTGATAGCTGAAGGCCTGGAAAATTGAGAAAAAGGTACAGTCATTTCAGGAGAACATAGTGGTTTTACTTCCTAGCTAAAACAGGTTCACTGAATTTGCTTTACTATGGTGAATTCTCCAGCTATAGCCAAGCTGAGAACTCAGTTGCAGAGCAGTGGTACTCATGGCCTTGATAAGCCTTGTGTAGAGCCACACTCCGTGCATGTGCAGCTGTGTGGAACTAGGGCTCCCCCTTGGCTGCAACAGCATGCCAGCATTTCCTCACCCTGGGAGGGCGGCTGGATACCCAGTGGCTTGGCAGGGCTCTGCTGGCTAGGGCTGTGGTCAGGCTGGAGACATGGGGAGCTGCTGCTTGGGGATAAAGGGCAGAGCTGACTTGCTTGTCTGTAAGGATTGCTGGCCACCAACTGCTCCACCTTTTGGAATTGCATCATGCACTGTGGTAGTAATGGCATGGTGCCATTGCCAACAGAAGAGCTGAAGTGGCCTCTTTGCTCTTGTTTTGGGCCTCTTTTGGATGGGTTGCTTATTCTCACAGGAGACTGGACTCTGAGGCAGAAGTCTTTTTTGCATCCTGTTTTCTAGGGACATGGCACTTTCTGAGATTAAATGGCATCTCCTTACCAAGAGATCAGAATCCCTGAGCTATGTTTCTGGATCTTTCCCTGCCCTGTAATGCACACAGTTCTCTTCAGGAAAGGTTAAACAGTCTTTGTCTGCTTCAGGTACCACAAGATCCCTAGGAATCCCTACAATGCTAACCACTTCACAGGTGGGAGCTCCAGTGGGTCAGCAGCAGCTGTAGCAGCAGGTAGGTGGTACCAAATGGGGTTGGTGGGGGGAAGGTCCTGAGCCAGAGTACCTCCGGCGTTTAGTTTTTATGGGGGGGTTGGGCTTAGTAGCTGGAGGAAGCTTTTAGCTAAACAGAGAGCTCTGTGTGCTGTCTTGGATACAGCTGCTAGTAGAATGGACAGGGCAACATGATGTGTCTCTGATCACAGGCCAACGTGTGGGTTTTTTGTAGGTCTCTGCCCCGTGGCTATTGGCACAGATGGAGGAGGCTCTGTGAGGATTCCTGCTTCGTTCTGTGGTGTGGTGGGGCTGAAAGGTAGAGCCCTTTAATCATGGAGGGGTGTGTGTTTGTCCTGTTTGCTGTTCCAGGTGGAATGCCACAAACAAGCCAGATATTTATTAATTCCTGTGAAGTAAAATTTGACCAGACAAACTCTGAGGTATAATACCCTGAGAGTCATGAGGCTTAGACTGGCAGCGTGGAAGTATTCTCTACTCTCAGCTGAACAGATGTTCAAAAAACCTAACTTACTTACTTAACTTAGTCAAATACTAAACAAAATACACGTGCTGCTTTTCCTTTCTACCCTTTCCTTTCTGCCTTTCATCTGAGACCAGATACTCAGCCACTACTTTCTTTCCATCCTTCATATGTGGTCAACTCAACAAATCTTGATTCATCTGAGGAGGATGATGATGATGACAAAATGCAACTGGTCAGAAAGGTGATATGAGTACTTGCAGAAACCAGCTGGTGTTAGGCATGAAGTCTCGCTAGTGAAGTGGTGAGACCTCCCATGGGTCTCACTCAGATTATCCTGTTGGTAATCCTGCTCCTGCCTCTCCATCCTCCACAGCACAAATGCTGCTCCTGCATATTTAAATACCAAAATGTTCCTGCACATATTTTCCCTCAAATAAATAATTTCTATGGGGGGAAACCAATTTTACTATTCACGTGTTTCACTGATGAGGCAGATCGGGGTCAGCAGAACAGGGTACTGAAGGATGAGAGACTGGGCACTGAAACAGCAGACATAGAAGTGACTGGCATGGGTTTGTTGTTTACCCTGGGTGCACCAGACCCATCTAGGTGGCTCTTCCCAGTGACTGCTCATACCCAGCTAAGTCCCATTTCTTGTTTTCCAGGTACATTTGGGCGCATCAGTTGTCATGGCAGTTTGCCACTCTCCTACTCCACAGTCAGCGTAGGTAAGAGGACTTGTGCTCTGCTTCAGGGACCTTGCTGTGTGCTACTCTCACAGGGGAGGCAATCTCTGCCTAGAAAAGACCTGGGGAGGAAGGTGCTGTTTACTTCTTGTCACTTTTTTATAATTGTCTCTTTTACAGGCCCTATCTGTACATCGGTAACAGATGCAGCTATTGTTTACAGTATCCTTGCTGAGCCAGATCTGCTCTATCCATATGGTAGGTGAGCCCTCTCTCTCCCTGAGCCCAGATGCTCACCCTTCCTAGAGGCATCCTAGAATAAAAGGAGGAACTCTTCTTTGTTCCCTGCAGGACTAAAACAGCCCAAAGCAACCCTATCTGATATGTGTGCTCCTGACCTGAAAGGCTTAAAACTCGGAGTGGACTGGACATTTTTTAAGGTGCCTGGTTTATCTCTATCTTTTTGCTGCTTTGCATAATAAACCAAATGCATTCATTGTTCTCTTGCCTGCCATCATTAGAGCTTCTCACATTTAGTCCTGTAGTTGGAAGATAATACAGCACATGTGAAAACATCAACTATTCTTTCCTAAGGCAGCCTTTTGAGTAGGAATCTGTTGGAGGATTATGAGGAAAGGTAATGACTACTGCTGATTCTATGGAAGCAGTGTTTCTGAACTGATAAAAAAAGGCAGTTAGTTTAAAATCAAATGAGGAAAAGGAGTGTATCCACTTGGTGACAGTGCTGTAGCTGCTAAATGTTTCATTATTGCAATGTAGAAATTGGGCTTGCAAGCTAGTACTGCTTGAAAATTGTAATGCAGCCCCATAAATAAATGTGCTTAGAATTTCTTCCTGGAGGTACAAAGAAGATTCTTACTGGCTCTGGCACAGTGCAGACAAGGCTTATTCTCTGCTCTGGAAAAGGTGACCTTTCCTTTTCATTAGGGTTGTGACCTGCAAGCTGTTCTCTTGCAGCATGTGACCTAAGTCCTACAGGACTGTGTTTCACTGCTGTTAGGGACAGGAACAAAGAAAGGACCATAGGGACTGAAGTCCTGGTGAGTGTGCTCACCAAGTGGAGGAGAGCAGTTACTAAAATTCTTTCCTCTTATTTTTTAGGCATGTGATGCTGAAATCCTGTCTGCCTGTGAGAAAGGTAAAGAGGGAAAGTCTGTAAGTCTCTGTGCCTGATGTTATGGTGTCATATTTATGCATTAAATAGCTCTTGCCTGATGTCCTTAAAGGCAGTTGCTTAAAGTTGTCTGGCTGGATAAACAGCAGTAACTTTGTATTAGGGAAGCCCCCCTGACTGCTGAGGGTTAAAAAGCTCAGCGGTTGTAGGCTTGTCAGATTACAATGGAAGAATGCAGTCCAGTGTGCTCAGCCTCTGTGTGTATAAAGACAGATCTGTGCTTGGTGGGACTCACTCTGCAAGCTTTAATGGTAAAAGACTTTTATGGGAAGGCCTTGTTTCACAACATAATGCTCAGTAGTAATACAGTGCTAGGTCTTTGTGATATATCCAGTCCTCTGGTATTTCCTTGAAATCAGCCAAGTGGTGCCCTTTAGGGTGCCTTTGTCAGAGTTTAGACCAAGCAAAATTGACCCTGGTGAGCACTTGGGGCAGGGGAGAAAGTCTCTACAATGCCTGGTATGGTAGTTGCATTGGAGCTGAGATAGTTCACAGAATTCAGGCTTTGCCTGGATTTTCTTCACCTTCCTTACTTCCATACTTCTACATTTATAGAGTTTTCTTAGGAGAACTGCACCATAGGCAAGCTTGGGTGTTTATGAAGAAGCTGGGGTCACAGAAAGAAGAGAATTCTTCTCAGACTGCAAAAGATTCACTTTTCCCAAAGTCTTGGTGTTCAGCCTTGTTAAAGTGCATCAGGATTTAGTGGCTCTGTATTGTTTACCTGGTCTCTTGAGTATTCCCTGATTCCTTTACCATTATGGTTCAGAAGAGGATTTGACTAGGAATCTCTTGATGCTAAATAATCAATTCATGATAGAACACTGGTCATGTGAAGTGCCCAGGGAAACACTGTCAGTCCTTTTACTCTTTGGCTTAATTGGGAAGTTAGAGGGTGAAGTGAATTTGCCTGAAATAGAGCAGGTTAGTTAGGAACCTGTTTCCAAGCCCTTGCTCTGTTGGAATACTGAGATGTAGTTAGGTTGAAGGCATTTCCCTAGGAGAAGCAGCTGCAGCCATGCATGCTACATGGTGCACAATGCCTGCCCTGCAATGGCATATGGAGTCTCTCACCCTGCAGGGGTTGGGAATTTTCTGTGAAGTCTGGTGAACTCAGGGATGCTGTCTGTGCTTTACCTGACCTGTACACAGCCGTGAAGCACCTGCAGAGTTTGGGAGCCAGTGTGGTTGAAGTCTCTCTTCCAGAGATGGAGGAAGCACGAGTGGCACATGTGATCTGCATTCTCAGTGAGATGAGGGACTTCCTGCAACCTGACTTCAATAAACATTTCCATGAAATGGTAAGTACTAGCAGCTTGGAGCAGTGTCAGTAGTTGTTCTGACTGATACAGAACAAATGTCATGTCAGTGAGAAACCTGAGGTCCTCCTGCTTCTTCTATGACAAACTACCTGTTGGATGGCTACAGGTACAGAAGAACAGACCTGGAAGAGAACTTCTGGGCTGTCACAGTTCAGTTTTGATTTTTTTATTTCAGAATTTGGAAACTCGGGCTAGCCTGGCTTTAGCTTCCCAGTTCACAGCTTTGGATTATATTAAGGTAAGGAAAATACTGGGGTGAAGGCTGAAGGGAGGCATTTAGTGAAACTGTAAAGGTGGGGTAGGGGCTTCTCTTAGCCTCCCAATACCCATGGGAAGATGTCACCCAGCTTTAGCTGTCCTCTGCTGTGAAACCATGCTGGATGGTAGGGCACCACAGAGGACATGCCACCTGGCCTGTACCCTCATTCCAAATTGCAGGAATGGTGTCTTCTTTTGCAAAGGAAGAGATGCTGATGGACAGTCTGCCAACATCAAACATGAATTTTGTGAGCTAAGAGGGCCCATCAGACAATATTCTCTCTGCTTTCAGGCAAATCGACAGAGAACTCGGTCCATGAGATTTCTGCAAGAGATCTTCAGCACTGTGAACTGTATCCTTACACCAGGTATTGGCACACTTAAAAGCCAGTCCTCAACAGCTGTGAGGTGCCTTTTAAGAACAGTCACTTCATTAACTTTCCCTCCTCAGTTTTGAGAGTATGACTTTTGTGCACTTTGCTGTGCCTTGCACCCTTAGAAGATAATACAGCCTGTGCTGTGTATTTCTAGACTTACTGGTTGTATCCATGGCACTGTATCAGGTTGCCCAGAGAGCCTGTAGGATCTTCATCCCTGGGAATATTCAAAAGCTATTTGGACATGGGCATGGGCACCCTGCACTAGCTGACCATTCCTGAGCCAGAAGGTTAGACAAGATGACTTCCTGAAGTCCCTTTCAAGTTCAGCCATGTTGTGATTCCTCCACAGCTGTTCCTTGCACTGCCCCAAGAATTTATGAATCTGACCTCTTGACTGGGAGCAGCGATATGTCCTTCACAGTCCGGTCCATGAGGTAAGGAAAGTGCTACTTACGCCACAGAAACAGAAGTCAGGGAACAGCTGGAGAAGAACCTCTGACTGTAAGGCAGGAGAGATTAATCATAGCTGCCTCCACCAAAAAGGGATGAATTTGCTGCTGTGCCTAGGAATACTGATGACAGCTTTTTCCCCCTAGGTTCATGCAGCTTGGTAACTTCACTGGTATTCCAGGCCTTGTGGTCCCCATTGGATATTCTACTGCCGGGCTTCCGATTAGCCTCCAGGTGAGTATTTGCTCATTGTGAATGTTGGGACACAAAATCCCCAGCTGGCTTTGTCCTGAAGCATCACAACCAGGTCCCTGCTGTTCCACACAGCTCACTTGAGGAGCTAGCAGGTACTGGAGATAAAAGCTTTAATTTGGGGGCGATTTGCCTTACTCCTAAATGACAGAAGTCTCTTTGGGTATCTTTGAGAAAGATTTCTCTTTCTCCCTGTATACTTGCATCAATACCCAGTATAGGTCACTATCCTTTCCTCTCTTATTTCTGTAACTTCTTTAAATACTTTCCTCTTGAAAGAGGTCTCATGTAAAGGAGATCTATGTCTTGCAATTGAAAGTCACACAGCTGCCTTTATCCCAAATACAGTGATGCCATTCTTACTGGGGCACAAGGACAAAACATCTTTTGAGGATGTTGAGGGGGGAAAAATTGTTTCCAAGGCTTTCAAGAGCTATATGATGCTACTTCTTTTCATTCATCCTTCTCCTTCTGCCTCTTATCTTCTCCCAGGTCATGGCAAAATGGTGGGATGAAGCTGTTCTTCTGAGGATTGGCCTAAAGCTAGAGCAGTTCCGTGACCAGACCAAAAAACCATCCATTTATTATGACATCCTCGCATGATGGACCAACCAAGATGGGGAACAAGTCTGGTTTTTTTTTCCTAGTCTGACCTGACCAAGTATTAGAGTGAACTTGTTTTCAGTGATTATCAGAATAAGGCTTAAACGCAGGCCCATGTGAGCAATGAGGACAAACTGCTGATCCAGTCAGGCACTGAGGCTGAGCAGACACTTCTGCTCTGTGCCTGGTGGATGGATATATTAGGGAGATTAACTGTGCTAGCTAGTTGGGCTTTTGCCAACAGGAGAAACTGCAACTATCTTCTACAATTTCTTCCCATGTAGGGGTCCTGTGCACAGGTGGAAGTTGCATCTGCAGGACTGCATGAAGGCCATTCACACTACTGTACAGGGCAAGGTACAACAACCTTCTCATGGAACTCCTCCAGGACAGAACAAAGGTCCTGTTTCTGAAGGGGAAAGGCAGCAAACACTGCCTAGCACCCTTGGAATGAGGAGGATCTTAACCCACCTGCATTTAGGCAGCATTTGTTTTGGCCCTGTACTCAGGCACTGGGAGCAAACCACAAAGCATGTAGCTAAGGAGGTGTTGCTGTGCCTCTGTCCCTTGCGCTGCCAACAGTTCAAGGTCAGCCCAGCAGCTGCACGTTTGGGTGTGTCCCAGAGTCCTGCCTCCCTTGAGCCTGGCACGCAAGGGGAGGAAAAGCCACACCATGAACCATCCTTGACTGCACCCCAAAGCCCCGGTGCAGTGTTCTGGCTTTCTTTTGCACTTCTCCAATTCCTAAGCTAAGCCTTGGAGAGCCTCTTTTCTCCTGCTGGTTGATTATATATAAGCCTAGGTGTCCAAGTGGAAGAAGCCACTGGATAATGCTATGAAATACTGTTCAAGGGGTGCTGAGCCAGCTATTTGGAACAGGTGGAATCTGTAGGAAGCACTACTGAGCTACTACAAAAACTGAAGCTGGATGCAAGAAGGGTGTTGCACAAAGCCACATGCAGCAAAGAGCCTGCTCTAGATAAGAAACCAACCTTCTCTTATCTTTAAATTACTTCCTAAAATAATCAAGGTAGACACAGATTATTGCATAAAGCATGACATGGCTGTAAGCCATCATGTTATTTTCTTGAAAGGCTCCAGACTGTAAATTCTCTAGTACTTTTGTCCTGCCAGCAACATTAGGAAAGCCTTTAGGAGCAACTAAACCTAAGCATTTATGTTTATTTTGGGGTGAATGCTCAGAGGCACTTCCTGTTGCCTGCCTTATTAGGCATCCTGGACTTGTGATCAGGCTGCTGGAGCAGCTGTCCTACAGACAGCAGAGATCACTGTATTCTTATGTAGTTTGGAAGGAAAGAAGAAACAGAAAGAAATTGCAGTTTCTCCCAAACTCAGTACAATTCTGGGATTTTTCTTTCCCATACCTACATCCTCTTTAACCAGAGCTAGCACTTTACTGATGGCTGAAATTGTCAGATGGCATCTGCATGCAAGAAGATTGCATTGCTGTCCCCTGCCTAATTACCTGAGTTAAAACATCAGCTCCTACCATCATGCTGTCACCAGCATGCACAGTTAATTGTACGGTTGACAATGCTTTTTATCTTGTATTCCTCTATGGGAAATTGCCACAACTGTTTTTTTCACTGGAGTCTAGTAGAGTGAGGGAGGAGGTTGCTAGGAGGAGAGAGGCTAAAGTAAACGGTTGTTTTTTAAAGATACCTGCATCTTCCAAGCAGTGGGAAGAAGAAAGAACTGAGTTTTTACTGACTGACAGTAACTCAGCCTCTCTTTTCACACACTGCTTCCTTACTTTGCCTAAACGTATCTCATCAATGCCCATTTCCAGTGCAAGACTTTCCTAGTACTGAGGTCACTAAAATAAACTTGACTCATCCTGGTGAAAGGCCCCTGTGTTTCCTTTTTTCCCCTGGCTCTTAGCTTATCCAAATTCTACAGCAGGCCAGTTCCTAATTACCAGTAGTTCTGTGAGCAAAGCAGACACAGTGACCACACACACAATCCTGTTGCTTCACATAGATATATGTATGGGTATAGATATACGGTATATACACACGGATTTTTTTTTTTTTATATATATGTATATATATATATAAAATAACACCTTGTTTATAAAGCGACATTTAATTGCCACTGGTTCCCTTCCCGCCCCACAAAAACAATAGTATACAAAATATAAAATATTTTAAATATTTATAAACGTTGCAAGAAAAAAATAGAACTGTACGAAAATATTTTTTTTTTTTTCTGAGGTTCCCTCCCTGCCCTGTGGGATGAGGAAGAGAAGGGGTACACATCTGGCCGGCCTAGTGTGCCTTGAGTCCATAGTTGTTAAGTGGGTAGGAGTATGCCCTGCCTAATACTATCCGGTCCCGGAGGAGCTTAAATAAAACATAATAATTGCAGAAAAGGATGAGGGCCATGGAGAGGGTGTGGTTCCACTTCTCTGAGCGCAGCAGGGAGTAGAGCTGGTAGCAGACCACACTGCCTTCGATGAGAATCAGCAGGTTGAGCAGCCGTAAGGGACGGTGAAAGAGGAACTGCAGGGAAAGAGTTAAGGAGAGATTTCTATCATTTCTTGCTGGGTTGAAGTGAGGAGGAATGAGGACATAACGCTGTCAGGGACCACTGTGGGCAGAAGTAGTGCTTGTACTCCAGCCACCGCTAGCTGCTCCTCAGGGAAAACAGTAAGAAACAAGGCATGTAGGAGGAGCATTTTCCTCAAGAAGGGGAAGAGGGTGAAACAAACTATTGGCCTGCTGACACACCTTCCCATTTCCCTGAAAGGTGTTAACTAGAACCCTCTCAGGGGAATGCCACTGCCTGATGGGAGAGCTGTGTCACCTTGGTAACAAAGCACTGACAAGGCAGCTGTGGTTCCCATCTTGCCCAGAGGTCACTGTAAGACAGAATGGGAAAGCCCCAATGCTGCCAGCATGTATTTTGCTCAGCAGCACCAGCCTGTCATGTATCACTGAGCTCTGTCCTGCACAGTCTGCTCTGCTGCAGCTGGGTTTGAGCCTCTCCTCCCTCCCACAGTCATAAGGCACCAAGCAAGAGATGAGATACTTGCATAAAAGCGGGCATGGGACACGTCTGAAGGCACTGCTACGTTGTAAGGCCCAACTGCTTTATACAGGCACCGGCTCCGTCGCACCAGAACTCCCTGTGGCCATATTGTGTTTTCTGACCAGCTGTGGGGAAACAATGGCAGTGTTACCATCTGTGCTCCCAACCCCCTGAACGAGGGTTCACGGGAACGGACTGCATCTTGAAAAATACCAGAGCCTCTGCCACAATGATGTGTCCTAGCTCCCACTGGAAAAGCACACAGGGGTGATTGCAAGACCGTTCAGTGGACTCCCAGTAATATGAACAAATGGTCCCCAGTGCAAGAACCTTGTCCACTGCAGTGGACGGGGCTACCCGCTGCCTCTGCTCAAGATACTCTCTAGTGGCCAAGAAAAACCTCGGCATTTCTTTCTGGGAAGGTACCAGCAGTGACTGGAGAAGCTCAGACATCTCTCTAGAGCAGCCATTTCTGTTTTCAGTGAACAAGGCCAGTAGATTTGATATTTGCTCATCCACTAGAATTTCTCAGCCCCTTGCTAGGCATGCCAAGCCCTGTCCATCCCCAGACTCACATGTGCTGTGGAGCATTGCTGTAGGAGCCATGTTCTAGTTTCTGCCACTTGCCGAGGTGGGCGGCAGACCTGTGGAGCAGGTCACAGTACTTGGGAGGCAGCAGCTGTGTGGTGAGCATGACAAAGGCATTGATCCACACCATGATGAGGTGCTCGCAGGACCAGCGCATGTCATAGTACTGGGTGCTCTGCGAAGAGACCAGACAAGAACTTGGCACCACTGTCACAAAACAGAAGGGGGAATATCAAGGGACATACTGCATGTGCATCCAGCAGACCCACACCACACGTTACAGGCATGCGCTTTTGGACCGGTGATTTCAGAGGGTGACAGCTTAGGAGACACTCAAGGCTCCCTTCTCCTCGAGCTGAAGGAGAAAGGGCAGGGAATGATGTTGCAGCTGGTGCATCTCCTCCTCCAGCAGCGGGTAACAAGGCAGTTTGCTTGCCACAGAACTGCCCCAGGAGCACCAATTGCACCAAGACTGCTACATGGATTGTGGAGCCCTGCCCATTTCTCTGCACCAACTGGAGCTTGTTCAAGTTAAGAGAAATGACAGATGAAAAAATACAACCCCCACACTGACAAGAGGCTCTTGGATTTAGTTTGTCAAGCATCCTAGTTGGCTTTAACAGGCTGACCACCAAAGCCTCTGATCCAATCACTCAAAAGCCACAATGCTGGATCTGAGACGGGTAACAACAGGTTCTCTTTTCTAGGAAGAACACAGCTATCCATCTGCCTAGGACAGAGGGTGGGAGAAGGGGAGTTAGTAAGTGGGGTGATGGGACTAGAGGTGCATCACATTTATGGCAATACCTATCTGCCAACCAGGAGCAGTACTAGTGCACTCCGGATGCAGCCATGCTCCGCTATCCGGGCTGCCAAAGGGGAGACAGAGAAAAGGGGAATTAACCAGGAATCTGGCCTGGCAGCAGTTCACACAACATTCAGAAGGAGACGGCGGGCAGGGGCACAGAGAGAGTCAGACAACAGCTACCTTCACAAAGCACAGTGGCAGGAATGCCACGTAGTAGGCACTGAAGAGGGAATTGAAGAGAACTTCCTTGATCCTGCGATTGAAGTCTGCTTTTAGGCACTCCACCTCATTGCGGATAAGATCTGGGGAAAGGGGGCAGCTGTGGGTGGGGATAGACGTAGGATTATTGAACTGTTCTCTCAGGGATTCCCACAGAAGCGAGAAGAAGTCTTTGACCAGGCTGCTGACAGCTGAAGCCCCATCATCCGCCACCTGGTCCTGTACCAAGTAACCACAGTCTGCAGGTAGAGGCTGTGCCCTGCTGTCCTGGTGGAAGCAGCACAGAGGGACATAGACACCAAACCTGCCATGAAAGAAAGAAAACAATGGATGAAATATCAGCCATCCCAACAGGGAGCAGGGGGCACCTCCTCAACAGGTACTGTCCCTGACAAGAGTGACAGTGCATAGGAACCCTCACCCCAGAAGCTAACAGCTAACTCTTCTCCCCGCTAAAAGGCCACAGGCTGCAGCTTCAAGACCAGTGCAGAGAAGCTTTTTTAAATCCCACTTGTAGAACCAACAATCCCAAAGGCTCAGTTTTCAAGTGGCAGTAAAGGCCCCTCACACAAACTGAGGTAATTGACTTCATCAGCTCGGTGCCACCTCCTCACACCATCCCCCAGCCACTCCCGCTTCCTTTTTAATCCTAAATCGAGGAGACATTACAGCCAACAGCTCTGCTTCCCACAGTGGCTCACGGCACCCCCAAGCAGCTGTGCCCTTCCTGCCCAGAAGATTCAAAGTGGTTTCACTCACGGGTAGCCCAGGAAGAGAAGGTTGAGAACAGAATGGCTGCGGAAGAGGTTGACCAGAGTCCAGCAAAGCACCCATCCACAGAGGGTGAGCAGCACCAGGCGCACCATGTAGCGAATCAGTGATGTTGCACCCACCTGAGAGGCCTGCAAATGGAGAGGAAACACTCAGCAGTCCTGTAACAACCAGTGCTAGAAGATGAGCACAAGGGATGCCTGTGGAGGAGGAGCAGGGAGAGGGGTGCCAGGAGGCACCCTCTTCCTCTCAGAAGCAGGAAACTGATTCTCTTACAAACGTAAATGCCTTTGATTTTATTAATGATTGACAGGATACAAAAGATTCAAAAATCACAAGTTGTGGGGCATGACTAAAATAAAGCCTTTACAGAAAAATTCAGAGCTGCAAAGTAGAAAAATATTTTTGCTGAAGTCCCTTATTGCTCTGATGATAGTCCAGGATGGCCTGAAACCCATTTCCTCTCTCTCTTTTCTTCAGAAGGATCAGGTCTCAGCCTTGTGCAAGGTCACAGTTTGCAGCTGAGGGAAGAGAAGATGTGCACCTTGTCAATCCCAAACCCGTATTTCCATAATTTAGCTCTATTGGATGTGTAGGCTGCAGTGTAGTGAGGAGGCAGCACAGCAAGAAAGCCTGATCCAATCTCCAGAGGAGAGAAGGAAACTGAACTATGATAAGATTCCTAAGGGTTAGAGCAAATACATAGGATGCACAAGAACCTGCATGGAAGATTTCAATGCAGAAATTTCATTCTATGGGAAGTTTTATGGAGTATGTGAATATAAATGAAAATGGAAGGAATCAGATGTAGAGACCTTCAGAGTTCCCACCTTCTCCATTCATCTATTCAACAGGACACAACTGTTCCTTTATTTATTTTATTTATTTTTAAACACTGCTTAGTTGCTTGCCCTAGAGTTGTATTAACCATGCCAGTGGACAAAGCTTCTATTTTCCTGAAAGTGACCTTTTACAAAGACCTAATTTGGCTTGGTTCTGCTCCCACAAACAAAGAACAGGTCTCAAAATCTGTGGTGACATGACCAGAGTCTGAGTTACTGAGTAACCAGGACTGGAAAAGCAGTTCTACCAGTATTCCTATTTCACTTCAGTGTAGTTAAGACATCTTCCTCCTGACCTTTCCCCCTCTGATCTCTTGTTCATTCTTCTTGTCTTGGCCAACCTCCCTATTTGCCTTTTTGCTACCTGACTTGAAATTCCCATGGCCACTTCTCTAGCATGAGATAGTGGGGTACAGTATTGTACCTGCAGAGATAAATAAGCAAGTGGGACCATTTAATCTCCTCCTAGATGCAGAGCCAACAGAGCTAGCCAATACTACAGGACATGACTGGTCTCAAGGAGAAAACTCCAAGGTGGAAGGGCATCCTCAGAATCTTAGTCCTTCACACCCAGACTCTTCTGAGGGA